CAATTATTGACTTAAACCAACTTTCTATATCTTGCTGAAAAGACATAGATGCTTTTGGGGAAAAATGCACTTTTTACTTGTACTATTATTATAAAGTATTGTGAATTTTACTTGATTAACTTGTACTAGAAACTCGACCAAAAACACTTAGTAAGATTTTGTGTTTTTGTGGTGAAAGGTGGAATGAAGTTATTCACTTTTCCAGCATTTCCTCTTCAGAGGAAGTTCTGTATTTAATCACGTTATTGGCAGCTTTAATTACATGATGGACGCTGCAGATGCATCGGACAGATTCCGTTATTATGGCTGCAAAAACACAAAACTTTACCATTTTAGTTCCATTTTGTGTCGTTTCAACAGAAATTAAATAAAACTAACTTAGAGTAAACTTTTCAGACAGCTACAGGAACTTGTTTTCAGAAAATATTGTTTTTATGTGTGATAAAATGTGCTAATTCATTTATAACAAGACACATTTCCCACATTGCAAGTCAAATAATCTGCCAGTGGAACGACATCAGAAAGAGAGAAGCTGAAACATGGTGGTGGCAGCATCATGCTTTGGGATGGTTTTTGCATCGTACTTGGGTTAATGAACGTTGTAATTACATTTCTGAGCACAGTATTTATGTGATTTTGGAGCGCACCTTTAAAACAAACAACATTAAGTCAGATCTGCATGAGTTCAGGAAAACAAAGTGATTTTGCTGAATATTTTTATATAATGGTGCAAATGTCAGTTTCATGCTGGCTTTGAAACCCCAGCTGTTAGAAATAAACATGAGGTCAACAGCAAGGATGCAGAGTGTTGCATTCAACATGTTACGTAGATTTTCATTATTATTTCCTGATTATTCGTTGAAGTCTTTTCCGTGGGGATGGCTCTGATTTCTGCTGCGTTTTTGTTGAAGTTGTGAGCAAACGGCGTTCAGTCGTCCTGTTGCGGTAGAAAGAGCCATCTTCTCCCCATCATACCTCTCGGTTTCTTTGGAGTTTTCCTCTCTGATGTTGTTTGTCCATGAGAACCTGCTGTGCAGCCAGCTTCAGAGCAGATCCACACCATATGTTTGCATTTCTGGGTTTTCGGGCTTTTTGCATGGACTTCCATTAATTAAAGCACTTTGTTAGCAAAGACAGCACAGAGATAAATGGTTTCTAAATTTATCTTCAAGCATTTGTGGACTCTCTCTCGGTTTGGAGGCGCAGACAGGAACACCAACTGGAAGCCTTGTTAATGTCGGCTACTGCTGTGAAGCGGAGCCACCTAAAAATACTCTGCTTTCAGGGCGGCGGTGCGGTTTGAACGGTTCTACCTCTGAAGGAGAGCGCTCCGGACCGATCCGTTTGTTTGTGTTGTTGTGACTTTGGAACCGGACAACTTGTTTGTTTGGTCTGTTTAACGCTGTTTCCTCTGGTTTGAACATTTCTGGGTTTAAACTGGTAAAAAAATAAATAAATAAAAGTGTGATTTGAATGATTATTGTTACTGTTTCTTACAGAGTGTTTGTCTATTTTCCATCTAAAATATACATTTACCTGCCTGCTCCCTGTACTAATGACAAACAACCAGCCAGAGCTAGGAGGAGGGTCTTAGCGGTGTCAATCATCCTCGTGCATGCCTTCACTCTGCTACACAGCAGCTGGTTCCCCACAGCAGAGCATGTCATGAATGCTAATGCTGGTTTTCCCGAAATAATAAGTTGTTTCTCTGCCGTTAGCACATTTAGCAGCCTGTAAACGAGTTTGTTTGGCAGCGTTAAGACCCTCCTGCTGGCTCTGATTGGTTGTTCTTGACCGAGAGTGAAGATGTTATGAATGTCCATCAAGTTTTGGGATATTTTAGCCAATGCTTAATTATTCAGTGTTACCATGCAAAAAAATAATAAAAATACCTTGAAGCATTTCATAACTTATTTCAAAATTCATTTATTTTATTTCATCTTTTAATTTTATGTGGGAGTTTTTAGTATAAACACTCCAGACTTTCCTCTGTTTGTGAGAAAACATAAAATAGAGTGTCTTCTTTTCCTATCATTAAATTGTTGAACTTTTTCAAAGTTGAATGTTCATCCTGATGGACACCAGGAGTTTAATTATTTACTGCTGCTATGGAAAGAAAAAAATATTTGGAAACATTTTCTAGCTTATTTACGATTTCACAATTCATGTATTTGAATTCATCCTTTATTTTTATGTTTGTTCTCTCAGACTTTCTTGAGCTGTTTATGAAAAATTTCTTTTTTCCCTTTTATTTCAGAGCAAATGTGGAATAAAAAGTTAAAAAGCAGGACACAAATGTTGACTTACATAAAATATATAACATGCTGTATACATATTTTTTTCTCGAGGAAAATAAGAGACACTTCAGGGTGAATAAATCCTGATTTGCAGTGAAACGTATTCAGTACGTTGGCGCCTCAATCACATTAACAGAGAATTGATTTTCGCTCGGCGTGTTAAAAACACACACAGACGTTAATGTAGTTACAGGCCAGTCTGTGGCCGTCAGCCGAACTGTCAGCTGTGTTTCCGTCCCGAAGTGCTGTGCAGAGAAAAAAGACGCTCGAGCTGCTGTCAATACGTCGATGCACCTGGCTCATCAGGAAAATATGCAGCGCTGCATCTTCAGCCTCATGCAGATGAGAAACTGCTGCGGAAACTTTCACACCTCTTTACGTTTTTCACGGTTCAGGATGTGTTCATAGTTTTAACATCAGGAAGTCCAGGAAAAAATACAGTTTTGTAAAGTTTATGGCAAAATCTGAAAAGTGTGGTGTGCATCTGTGTTGTGAAGAAACATAGCCCTCAGCATTATGCTGCCACCACCGTGTTTCGTCATCCAGATAGTTTGTGTTGTAGATTCTTATCACTCTCCATCAACTGTTTTTTTCTTCCTTGCTATTCTTCCAGATGGCTGAAAAAGCTTAAACTATTTTTTTTATTTTAAAACCAAAAACAGTTATAAAAACACAAAATTAAAACACAGAAGTATTTTGGTCTAGTTTCTAGTGCAAATATGTTAGTACACTTGAAATAAGACAAAACTGACTTGCAAGTAACTTTTCCTCAGTTTGTTTTCAGTCAATAATTCACTGGCTGATTATTTCAATTAAAACATTTTTCCCGTATTACAGGTTTAATCATCTGCTAGCTAAACAAATAGCTTTTCATAAACAGTGAGGAATCGCTGACTTAAAAACAAGCTTGCTGAAAAGTTACTTACGAATTTGTTTTATTTCACGTATGCCAAGATGTTTGCACTAAAATCTAAACAATAATAACTGGAAAACTGTGTTTTTGCAGAGACTTTAAAGATGACAACACTTTACCTTCTGTAGGTATTTCTAAAAAATGATCAGTTTTTCTTTCCTGTAACGTTTTGCAGGCAGAAACAAACTTCAATTGGCTGTTCTGATCCAAAGTGGCTCCTTGGATTATAAAGTTTGCTAATTCTTATTCTAGAACCCTTTATGGTAACTAAATATGACTTTTATTTGTTGTAATTTTATCATTTGGTCATTTAAATACTTTGGATCTGATTTGGGCATGATGGGAGATTTGTGTCGGTCGGTTTCGGTCGGAGTGACAGTTTGGAAACACCTGCAGTCACAAAACCAGGAAGTGTTTCTGCGGAGGTTTAAGCTTCATCTCTGCCTTTGTGACACCATGAATGTGTAAACTTACATGCCGAGGCATCACTCTCTCACTGAGGAATGACTTTCATTTCTCTAGAGCTTTCAGGGACGTTTAGGAAAAATATAGAAATACATTAAAAAAATCCAAATAAACTAACAATTAAATTCATTTTTAAACAAAAAAAAATGACTATTATTGCTTTAAAAGGTAAAACAGCATTGTGTTAGTAAACAAATGATCATTTGAAACAACTTCAGCTACAAAATATGTCAAACATCATCAAACGTCTTTCTGCTTGACTTTATATCAATAGAGTGAATCTGGTGATTATTTTTCTGAATTAACCAATTAATAATTCAATGCCAAAGGTGCTTAATAGATTTTTTTTACAGTTTCTGAAACAAATGGGGCTAAAACTGCAACTTTGAGTTTATTGTTGAACATATTTTCAGACAAAGGTGTTTTTTAATATATTTTAAATGCAAATTGCATATTTTTTGCAGTTTTGGCTTAATTATTGCTCTGAATGTGTTGTTCTGTCAGCAAATGGCCTTTTTTAAGGTTGACGATTATTTCATTGATTAATCTGATTAATCGTTTTGGAAAGATGAAGGTTCCCCTTGTTTTTAGCTTTCCAGCAAAATGTTAAATGTACTGCCTGTATTCTCCTGTTGATGATTAATCGATTACCAAATTAGTTGATGATTGTTTCAATAATCAATTAATCTGATTAATTGTTTTGATCCTAACCTATTACTAAAAGGTGAAGGTTCCCTTTATTCTTAGGTTTCCAGCAAATTGATAAATGTTTTGTGCCAACATTGATTCCTATGACTTTCTGATGATCTGAGTACTCTAGTTAGCAATTAATTGATTACTAAATTATTTGACAATTATTTCACCAGTCAATTAATTCGATTAATCGTTCCAGCCCCAAACTCAAACCCATCAGAAATGTCAATTCCTGTGATGTGCTTCATTTAAGGGCAAAATATTTTCGAGCAGCAATTTGTTCCTTTTTATTGTTTTCACGTCCCAAAGACACAAACATAATTACTTTTTAAGCCCAGACATCTATTAAGTGGCAGAAAATTGCTCTGGAGTTCAAACAAAGGGAAGAAAGTGAGCAGACTGAATGTTTCTCCTCGGCAAGGCAGAGCGGCTCTCAACAAAACCAGAAAATCACCTAACAGGTGCCCTTGAGACGACTGAACAATTACAGTCTGATTCATTAGCAGCCTGCAATGTCAAGCCACTTCTGAATGCTTCTAATGTCTGTTTCTATTATTCTTTGTTCTCCTCTGCAGAGATCAATATGGGAGAGTGAGGACTTGTGTTTATTCTTTGTTTGTGTTTCCAAACAGAAGAGAAGTTAAAGGACAAAAAAGCAACAGAAAGTCTGAAGGTACGGCGACGTGTCGGCTAGCCGGCTAACAATAACTGGAACATCAGGCTCCAGTAAAGCTGCAAGCGGTGCAAAAAGAACAGAGGTAACTTTGTGCATCAGGACCACTCATTCGATTATGTGAAATAATCTACCTTAAGAAACGCGCGAGTGAATGCTAAACGAGATTCCCCGTGCGGCTGATGATTACCATTTTGTCTCCAAATTGAAACCAAGCTGAAGGTAGACGCTAATTTAAATAAGGGAATCTGAAAGAGAACTGCAGGTAAAATCAAATTCTGACGGGAAGCAGAACCGATGGAAACGTGAAGCTAAAGTAACCTTGACGCACGGCTTCTCCCCGCCACGCCGTAATGTGTTTCATTGTGTTTGTGTGGTATTGTACGCTCCCTTCATTCGTAGCTCCGCTCTGCTTAATGGACTAACCTGCCAAACTCACAGCAGCACGAACACAAAGGGCCTGCTGTTTTTAAAATGATTGAGCCATGACTTGTCAGCAAGAATCTGCCGTCGCCCTTGAATGCTAATTACTTGATATTTATGCAAAGTCACGAGCTGACTCCCGGAGGATCTTAGACTGGATTTCTGAACTCTTAAAACAAATCTTAACGTGTTGTCAGCATAACAATGTCAATAAAATGACACTTCACTTTGTGTCAGGATGCCACTTTTTCTTCCTCCCAACAGAAAAGGCTTTCAGATCCCCCCACCCTCACTGTGCCCCATCAAAATCTGACACAGTTTCTACAATCAGCATGACAGCTGCCCTAAAACAAATGAAAATGTATGAACTGAAAATGCAAATGCAGCCAGACTCATCGTGAAAAGTTTCTGTTTAAATGTTTGCTGAAATCACTGCGCAGGGTTATTTTATGAATCATTGTAATTGTGTTTGTGAGCCTTTGACTAGTCGCCGTTTCTGCTCGTCGTCTGCTGCACAAACCAAGACGGAGGGTAATTATGTGCTGGTTACTTGCATCCTGATGACCCGGTTGAAAATCAATTGCTGGGGTGGCGGGATCGAGTTAATTACTGCACCCCTCAATGGCAAATAACCATAATTGAATCATGAGTTTTTTCGCTGAGTCACGTGATTTTCCCAGCAGCCTGGTGGTTGTCAGAGGCTGTGGACCATGAAATTAATACAGGCGAGGCGCTGAAATGAGCCACAGCTGCAGTCAAGTAAAACTACAGGACACTGCAGATCATCCAACAAAAACTTACATTCTGCAGATAAGAGGAGAAGTTCTGAAACGGCCAAAAAAATCACAAGAAAAGGTCGTTTATTAGAGCAAAACAAAGCCAAAAGTCACTTCAGTTTGTGGATTACACTCGCGTTATTGTCAGGTCAGCAGTTCGAATATAAATGTATCGAATGCATCTCATTAACATAATCATCAGTTTCAATCGTTCTCTGATTGGGCGGCTCCGAACATTAGGAATGTTCATGATTGGTCTATTTATTTGAAACAGCTGATAATGTTTTTATTTTCTAATTATGAATCAAACGGTTGAACCCTTTGGATGTTATGCAGAGATGGATGAATAGTATGATATAAAGCACGTAATAGTTTATGTTTAAATTGCTTTCATTAAATTTTAGAGATAATTTCTCTCAACTGAACAAGAAATATTACAGCAATAAATCAGATATTTTGATGATGATCCATTAAAGATGGAGAATCTGAGGTCAAACATTTACAAGTTATACAATCAAAAATTTCTGAAATTAAAATACAAAACTTCTGACTTTTCTCTTGCAAATTTACAACTTTTTCAACTCAAAAATGTTCAATTTGAGAAATTAATCTAAAAATTAGAGTTAGCAAATTTACCATTTTTTGAGCTCGTAGAATTTTTTTTCAGAAATTTTCTGAGTTTAATCTCAAAACTTCTGATTTTTCCCTTGCAAATTTTTGACTTTGAGCTCAGAAATTCCCAAGTATTTTTTTTTTTAGAAAATTTCAGATTAATCTAAAAATGTTTTTGGGCAAAAATGTGCTCCTTTTTTCCACCTGCAGCTGCCATAATCAGCTGTTGCAGCCTGGAGTTTTCTCCAGTCAGTTTGGTGACATTTAGCAGCAGATGCCTCCTGCAGGATTCCTCTGCAGCCACAGACTTTCTGTATTACCTGCTTGTGCCACCAGGTGAAGCCCCTTACTTTTTAATGAGATGGAAAGACAAGGGAGTTTGTCATAAGCATTGGGCTTAATGTGTAAAAATGAGCACAACTCCTTCCCCTGCAAGTCAGCGACAGGGAGGAGGGGCATTGTTCCAGCCTGCCTCTGCTAACGGTGTCAGTTGTGTTAATGAACTGTGCTGCAGAAAGTGGTAAAAAAATCTGTGGCAGGTTAGCAGTTTAGCTTGTGTTGGCTCCACAGAGCCGCGGCTGCCAGCAGAGAGCCGCTGCAGCGGCTTGCTGCTAACGAGCAGCAGAGACTCTGAAGCTCTGCCTCCTCCTCCAATCAGGTCCAGGAGTCGCAGCAACATGTTGGCAGCGCTGACGAGGGTCTGGGACTGGAAACTTGGTTCTGGAGTGTTGGTGGTTTTCACACACAGCAGGTATGATGAGTGTGAAGGAGACGGGGTTAATTAAATCAGAGCGTCACTGCAGCTTGTTTTGGTCCTTTATCGCTGCACCAACTTCTATGAGACTCCCTTTATATTTCTAATAAGAAGAAAAGTTTTTAAAATGAGTCACTTGTGAGCCGTGATGTTTTTACAGTAAACCAGGCCCTCAGGGGCCCCTTAAAGAAGTTGCTCTGCTTTAACACACCTGAATCAATAATTATAGTAATTACGCCTGGTAGGACAGCGACCCTTAAGGACTGACGCATTTAATGTTGTACAACTTATTTATGTTTCTGGAAAGGGTGGGTAAACTTTTTAGAGACTTGGAGGCTGTTGGTAATGTGCCAAAACTTTTTATTTTTACCCTGAACAGCGATATTGTTTTATTCTACATCTGGAAAATTTGCTGTTTTTACTCCCATTTTGCCAGTTTTGTCTTTTACTGCCAACAATGAATCAGTTAAAAATATAAAAAAATTGTTGTTGACGGCAGTTCAGTTTCAGATTTTCTACTTCAAACGTTGACTTTTATTTTTAATAATATTGAAAATTGTAGTTTTTTTTAATGTGGAAACAAGACCTGCTTTCAATCATCTCAGTTTATTTAAAATAAGATAAAACTTGATCCATTTGCAGATTATTTCACTTATAACTTGGAGGGAAAATAATCTGCCAGTGGAATCTGAACTTTTCATCAATATTAAGGAATTATGCACTTAAATTAAGCTCCTATATCTGTCTGAAAAGTTATTTGTAAGTTAGCTTTATTATTTCAAGTGTACTAAGATATCTGTGCAATAAACTAAAAAAAAAACCCCTAAGATTTTGTGTTTTTGCAGTGTAAAATCCTAATTAGAAAATGTCGACCATCAGATTCCTGAAAACTTGGAGTTGTTTCCCCTCTTCTTTTTTTTTCTTCCTGTCTCTTTAAATCAAGTCCCGTTTAACTGTCATGGCTGAAAAAATCTATTTCTGCCAACTCACAATTTCTGACAAACCCACTTAATATGTCAGCATCTAATCAGTCCAATTTGAAAACGGGGATGGAGGGAAGGATGAGAGGAGGAAGCCAAAGGAAAGATGAAGTGGTGGCGGGTGGGAGGGGGCGCCGGCGGCGCCCGCCGCTGCCTGGCCCTGACACCTTGTGAAGAGTCCTCATTCATCACACGGCGCAGGGCTTTAGCCCCCGTAAATCACTGTGGATAAAGGACGCGCCATAAAGAATGGAATTGTGAAGGTAAGGGTTTTAAATCCCCCTAGATGATCCGAGATAAACACAGAGAGACTTTTGACAGTCCCTCGTTACCGCCACAAGCGAGAGGAGCTGTCACAGCTCCCTCCTCGCCTTTCATCTCTTGGTAACAGTCTGGCTGCTAATATCCTCAATTATCTCTGCAATATGTTGCTGGGAAAAAGGGAAAGTTCCGAGGAGGCATTCACGCAGCCTGAAAGTTTTTAATTTGACAGCTTGTGGTGTAATGATGAGCAGTGAAGGGGGGGCGGGAGGGGGCAGCGGCCCGTTTTAGGACTGTGACAGGTGATTGGGCCGGACTGGGACCGGCTCCGGGATGTCAGGAAGGCAAACAGACGTTTCACAGGAAAACGCTGCAGCACCCAGCTGTGAATGCCACTGTGTTTCATTTAGGAGAAGGAAGGAAAATATGATTTTGTTTTCTTTCTAATCGAATGTTTTTTTTCTGCTTCACATGAGGCTAATCAGCTCCTAAACATTTAAAGTTTCCATCAGAAGTTTTTATCCACTAAACTTGGATATGGATGTGAATAAATTGAGCCTTTTATGATTTATATCCAGTGTGTCAAACTCATTTTTATTTTGTACCTCATTTAGATCATGAATGTCTTGACAGGGCCAATTTTAATTTCATAAATTACAACATAGCTTTCTCTGGATTCAGTTTGTAATTCTTAATCAGTTATATTTAACATCTTTTCACATTTATGTAATTTGGCCTTGGAGAAATAAGAACTGGTAAGATTTGATAAGAGATTATTTAAACACAAGTTGTCATGAACTTTTATTTCTGTGGCCTTCTGAGGTCTAGAGGGCCACCAAAAATGGATGCGGCGGGCTGGTCTTGGCCCACGGGCCTCCAGTTTGACAAGTGATTTTTGATCAGTCAAGTTTATTTGTAAATTTCAGCAATAAGGCAACTAAAAGGTTTTACAAAACGCAAAAATAGAAAGACGTCAACTGAATCATTACGTTTTGCCAAGTGTTGTCGGTGCACTTCAAAATGTTCATTCATGTTTAAATTATGTTTGAAAAGTAGCTCTAAAAAGGCCTGATTTCCTGTCTACAGTTAAAGGATCTCTAGCGGCGTTTTGGCTGCAGATTTCAGGAAGTTTGTTCCATATTTGTGGTGCATCGAAGCTGAAAGCTGCTTCAGAGAAACAAGAGTCACTGCAGTTCCTATTGGAAACAGTAGGTGTCGCTGTAGGTGAAATCTGCCTGGAAGAGTCTGTAGAAGAAAAGCTTTAGTAATATTTCTAATTTATCTCTGTAGTTGTGGTCCAGAAATCCGTGTATCGTGGGTTATTCAGCCATGTTTTCACCTGGCTGCTCTCCCTCTGCCGGTTGTTTAGGTCTCTGTTTTCACATTTACTTGAGTGACTTTTTTGGAAAACTGTGACTTTCAGGAGTATTTTTACTATGTTGTACTTTTTCCTTTTACTAGAGTGATTTTATTTTGACGTACCGGTTCTCTTACTTGATTAAATTTCTGGATGCTCTACCCACTGTGAGTAACTTCACTGAATGAAGAACAAGCATGTTTAACCAAACATTTACCAGACACAAACCTGTAGTTTTTGTTCCTTTAAGTCCTTAAACATTGTCTTTAGGTCTGAGAGACTCACCTTAGTCCCTTCTATCAAACTTCTCTATCTATAAAATGTTGCCCTGAATGTGTTTCTTACTCATATCATCAGCCATGAACTTCAGCTTTTAGTCTGTTTTGGTGATTTTGTTCTCCCAGTAGATCCTATAGTTCCTGGTAGACCGAAGCCTGGATTGATCATTGATTGTCATTCTAATCAATCGCCTTCATCTAAAGTCAAGTTGTTTGGTCTTGTAAGGAAAGGTCAGCTCTGAAGTTGTTTTGGTTCCTCTCTCACAGGAGGAGACTGGCTCAGATTGAAATGAATTCCAGTTTGGGCCATGATGGATGCATGGAAACATCCCAGTGCAGCTGTTAGTGGGCTGTCAGACAGATGAGGAAGCTTTACAAAGGCAGGTCAGTCGAGTGTGATGATGGCGATGATGATGGTCAAAGTGCAGAGCCAGGGAGACTGGAGGGGCACAAGGTCGTTGCAGGAAGGTGGGCTTCCAGAAAATGTCTTCCCTCCAAACTGCCAAGGTAGTAATTATCTTTTTTCCCTACCTGATTTATTTACACGCAACTTCATGTTAGAGGATAAACCAATCGATCATCCCCAGCGTCTCCAGTCATAAGTGAACCAGATAAATCACGACTTTGCACTCAGGTTTATGAAATATTGGCCATCCTGCAGGTGTGCTGTTGCAGAGCAGTTGGTGGTCCAGAAGAACATGTTAAAATGCCTGGATTTTATACCAGTTTATCATTTCAAAAGGTTTTCTTGGTTTATTTAAATTATTTAACCGTGTCTTTTTGAGTAGAAGCGTCAGAGTTGCATATCTTGACTTGGCAACTTTTAGAAATTCCCCTTTGGAAAAAGGTTCTGGTTGAGATTTTCCAAAACTTCAATCATCTGGCAAATATGTTCTACTGCAGGACAGCAACTCTCTATTATTTTAGTGATCAATTACTCTATTGAATATTCTGAAGATTAATCTTTGAATCAGATTTTTTTTTAAATGAACAAATTTTGCAGATTTTTCATTTGACTCTTTTTGTACAATATTAGACATCCATTAAAATATCCTAATATGCAATTCCCTTTTAAATGAGAAGATAAACATTTTATTGCTCAAGTAGCATTAATATATGAGCCCTTGATGATTTGTTGCATATTAATTTGAACATGATGGGTATAGGATGGTGTGAACACCATTTATCTTTTACTTAAAAATGGTCTCAAAACAACAATATTATCTTTTATCGCAGTAACTTCTGGGACAATTCATTGTCCAGCAATGTTTATCGTGCTGTACAGATTCTAGATCAATCTTTTTTCATCTTGTTGACGCTTTCAGGTGTCAGGTTTGGCGTTTCCAGCTTCACATGTTGGAAAATTGAAGGTAGTTTCCGTCCCTGCCGTCGCCGGTTTTCTGTTGCTGCAGAAATTGCTCGGTTTTATTCAGCTTCCGTCGCTAAAAGACAAAGTCAATAGCTTCTGTGGCATAATGACTGAGTACACACTTTCCAGCTCACATTACGGGCTTTTTCTTGATAGATAAAAGTCCCAAATAATGCCTCCTGTGATGGAGTGAAACCAGGATAACAAATTGGCCTTTTGTGATAACAACCCCCCCGTGAGGTTCCTGGGCGTGAAAAAGATGGACTGGCAGCTTTGAGGAGAGCCAGGTCTGCAGCAGCGCGGCGCCAGGGGAGCGGCTCCATGCCCTACAGAAGGATGGATTGTGTAGATTTGTAATGGTTCCTCTGCTTTTGACAAAATAACCCAACCTGCAACCTTCATTCTCATTGGCGGAGTGAAAGGGCAGGAGCAGAGGAGCTGGTCTGAGATAAGTGAAGTCTGTCGCTCTGACTGCTGTTATAAATCGCAGCTATCTCAGCCATGTGTGTGAGACAAGCAGGCTGTCTCCACTGACATCCTCCTTTCGACTTGACATGCAAAAAAACAAATTGATACAAAGCAGAGACGAGGAACGAAGGCTGAGCAGTGGGAGGTGATGCCTTGCTGAACCGCTGCAGACCACGGTGCAAAGTGCTTTTTCTGAATTTAAATAATGTGCATACTCATAAAGCCTGCAGGACAGGGATCTCAGGCCTTCTAATTAAACTCCATGGATTGTTCCTCCTGATTCCGACTGCGGTACCATTCTGCAAAGTGTCTCTGAGACGAAGCGTAATTCAGAACTTTGCCCAATTATTTAGGAAACGCTGCGAGGAAGCTTAAAAGTTGATAAATCTGGTGCAATTTAACTCTCAGGTGTAAAACACCCACCTGGTTCTGACCGGACCCAACCGCACAATGGCTTCTGTCACCTGTTTATTGCATTTAACTTTTTATTAGGAGTCATTCGTACATCCATCATTCTCTTTATAACAGTATAGACACTTTTATTCAGATTCCAATAAGACATACGTATCTGTTTTTGAATAAATATTTAACTCAGAATCAAATGACTGAAGAGCTGAACCATAAAGACACTAAAACAAAAAACCTCTGAGATGTACATTAGAAATTAATCACAGTAAATGTGACGGTAAATCAGAAAGTAACAAATATTCAACTTCTGTCCTTTAGCTTGATGGAAGATCTTTAAATCAACCTTAAATCTTCAGTAAAGCTGAAGATTATAGCCAAGTATAATGTTAGTTATATATAGTTTGAGTACAAATCAAATGTTTGGATGCTTTGTCTCTGAGTTTATCCTTTTTTTTTCCTTTTTAAATGTATATTTTTTGCCTTGAGATGGCAGCAGAAATGAAAAAAACCCAAAATAATGAGCTGTAAATATTTGTTCTGTCATTACTTGGTCACAGTGTTATGACTGATCGCTCTCTGTATATTTGCTTGGTACAAAGGTCATTTAAAATGGCCAAGATTGCTTCAGAAATGAGGCCAAAACTCACTCGCATCCCCCAGCTGCACACTTAATTGAACAAAAAGCCCAGATGTAATTATACTGAGATCCACTGGTGCTGTAATGATGTGGCAGCGGTATTGATCAGCTTATTAACTTACACATTCACACAGTCCAGGCTTCAGCTGCACAACCTGTGGAGCCTTCAGTCTGTTACTGGCTTATTTAGTTCAAAGTTCCTGCTTTTTAACTTGGGCTTAACTGAAATTATTTAGCAGTTTTAGATCAATTTTAGTGACAACTTCCTCATGACTGGAGCTGATCCCAGCTGTTGGCTGAACCAACATGTCAAAGTTTGGATGTTCTGCATGTTTCATCACTTTAGTTTTGATCTTTATGAGCATGTTCTTGGAGAGAACAGGAAGGAAGACATTTTTTATTTATGTTTTCTGAAGAACCCGATCGAAACTTGGTGTTGGCCGATAAGTCAAGACCGAGAAACTTTGATAAGGCAAAAAAGTTAATCGGGAAATCTCCAGATTGGGTTGTGAAAATGTCTGATATTGTCTGCTTGCATGTTTTCTTCAACTAAAACTTTTTCTTGACCTTGTTATCAAGTTGTAGTTTTAACAATTAGTAGCGAAGCACTACATCCCTTTTAAATGTTTGGATTTAATATTTTGTGTGTTTTATTGATAATGGACAAAACCAATGCAACTGCAGGAGGACCATGGGTGGGATATGGGTAAAAAAACGGATTTGGAGGAATTGACGCTCCTGCAGTTGGAATGTTGGGAAATAATTAGCCTGACTGTCCTTGCGGTTGAGATGAACCAGCCCTGTAATCCAGCTCAGGTGGAGCTAACATTTGCGTCTGATTAAACTATTTCCCCTTTTCTGTGTGGGTGTGCCAAGGCTGCAGCTGCCTTCTCGGTGAAGCGTTTGCCTTCTCTGTAAAATTTCAACCTGCGGCTCATGTTGCAGCGTTTAGAAACGGCAGAACTGCATCATGTTGCAGAGATTGGTTTCTTCTGGGCACCACCACCACCAGCAGCAGCAGCAGCCTTTGTTTTCTTGTTGCTAAGTGCCAAAGAAGTGGAAGAGTCGTCTCTTATGTGTAATGCAAAAGAGATTACACAACCTCAGCTGTGCGTTTGTGTGGGTGCTGCCTTGGACGAGAACAGTACTTTGTTGATGAAAGTCGCTCAGAAATAGCAGCGATATCTGACAGAGGAGTTGGACTGAGGAGAGAGATGGATGCTCCCTTTTTAACCCACACTCCTACCAAGTCTGTTCTCGCTCTGGAAAAGCCTTTGACTTTTTGTTCTTGTTTTGACCGTACACACACAAACGCACACACAAACGCACACGCACACACACCATGTTTCTGATGTTGTAAACCAAAATCCAAGCATTAGGTCTCTGACAAAGACTTGGAGAAGGATATTAATCACATGACCACAGTTCGCTGAACTCTACCTTGAAATATGAGACTCATTTCTCCGGGATAATCAACTTACGGGGTGAAAAAAGTCTGATATTTCACCTTGAAATGCTTCATAATTCGCCAGCAGGATCTTTAAATGTGCCATGATCAACCCTCTAATTATACAAGACCAAAAGAAAACAAATGAAATAACAGCTGAGAGTCTGCAGCAATGCTTCTCTCTGCGCCAGCAGGAAAATGAACAAATATACATCGAAGCTTATATTAATTAAAACAGTTTTTGAGCTGACAGCAGATGGACTGTATTGGTTTTGTTTTGGCCAGTTTTTGCCTGTCTGAGTATCCTCTTTCATGAATGATAATCAATCACCAGCAATGTGGGACAACTTCATAAAACGCATCAGAGACGTTTCTGTACGTCTCCCTAAACGCGCCGCGGACTGACAGCGAGCTGCTTGGCATCACTTCTCTTCGTAACCTTGTGCTTTCTAGAACAGGGTGTCAAACTGAGTTTCATACATCAAAAATCTAAATGTTGGTTGTGCCAGAATGTATTGATAAAACCCACTAAACTGTTTAAATCCCTCCAGGATTTTCTGATTGTTTTGGTGGTTTCTTGGTGCTAATTTAGAAATATTTGTAGGAAATTTTTACAATATTTGTGCTAATTGATGTTATATATGACTTTGTCTTACTCTCTGTATCAATTCATATATAACTATAATGGGACATCAAGTCAGACTGAGGCAGCAGTCACTTAAACCAATGTTTCAACAAATTTGCACCAAAAGGCAGACATGGTAATCTGCTTTGATATTAGGTAATAAAATTGTTTTGATAACTTTTTGTCTCCATTCCAGGTCGGATATTAGCTGCTTATAAGGTTTCCACAGAACTGCTAACTGTGTGTGCCGGAGTCTTTTAAAGGACTTTGAGAAGTGCAGATGCCATTTTTTTACCTGCAGTCCTGCATCATAGCCTCTGCAACCTAATGTCGAAGGTGTTATATAATGCTTTATAAGGCTTTATGCGCTCCAAGTCATATCGGTGTGTTTAAAAATGAAGTTGACAAATCTCCCTCAAGTTCAAGTGCA